TACTGAGTGCTCGTATCAAAGATCGGGGATTAGCGGTATCTTTCCAGGGGATTATTCTCAATTTGAAGGAGGCAAAGTCCCCTAGAGTAATTTTCCTCAGGGTCACGTAATTTGCGTTATATCGGAAAAGATCACTATTCTCTATGAACATAATTTTTTCAACTTCAATAGATTGCTGAAAATAATTAGTTCAGTTCTGGATCAACTGTAACAGAGCAATTGGTATCTCAGAACAAATAGCTTGCTGATTTAAAAAATTGTAAGTCCTTGATAATTTTTTTAAATGAGGTATCAATTACTTTGAGATTTGGCCAAAATTGAACATGCGAAAAATTGAACTTGTGGTTCAAGTTGCAAAACCTCGTTGGGTAATTATCAGATCGAGAAATTCAGGATATGTCCCAAAAGTAACTAGAAATGTGGTTTTGGTTTTCACACATCAGCGAAATTGTGGTTCTAATGAGCAATTATCGGTCAATTTCCCTCAACAAATTCAAAATGAACCATAGTGCTGCCGAAACAGCTCAAAAAATCAATCAGGTATTTGACCTTGCCTTATAAAATTTCTTTCCGGAGATTTTAGCCTCTACGCTGAGCCCCGAAATGGTCGATCTACAGTAATCCAGGATGAGGATTTGAGGACCCTGTTGGAGACTGACCCATTACAAATGGTGCGTCGGAAGAACTGGGCGGCAACGCCTCTGTGGTTTTTCATGGTTTGGAATGTATTGAAAAGATCAAAAAGCCTGAAAAGTGAGTGCCCCACGATTTGAACGATTAACAGAAATTGACAAGTTTCAAAGTCGGTTCTTCTTTGTTTTCGCGCAACCAGAACGATCCTTCTTTGGATCGAATCGTCACGTATGATAAAAACTGGTTGGACACCGATCACTCAGACACTTCTCAAAGGCGAAAACCCACTGAAAAAATACCATGATTACTGTATGTTCGTCAGCAGCTGGTGAGATTCACTATAACTTTTTGCAACTTGGAAGATGACGAGTTTGGATTTGGAATATTTGAACAGGTGATTGTCAATAAGTTCTTTTGAACAGTTTTATGTTGTTGTGTTTTGGAAAAAATCAAAAAAACTTTCCAAACCGATAGTTTTTGCAACTGAGTTGCAGAATAGACCCAGTCACTTTGGACCCAACCCAACCTAACCTCTTCAGCTGAAGTTTCATTTGTTGTTGGCTTAATAGATGGGACTGTGGTCAAAATATTCATCCATCTTTAAAGTAGTGGGAAAAAAAGTACTCCTCTCATCTCTGTTAAAAAACGACTTGGTTCATCATCCTCTTCTACAATCACCAATTAAATATTTTATCGAATGCGGACGATAACATACTGGAGTAAAGAAATGTAAAGATATTTTAATCGTCAGCTCATGAAATGAAAGTGGAACCCTCTTTAACTTTCATCTTCCTCCAGTGATTCATCAGAAAATTTGAAAAATAACGACCAACTTCAATATCCAGTTTGAACAATTAAACAAAAATGGCTCGTCACAGTGTATGGTTTCCAGTTTTGAAGTCGGTAATAATTCAGCTATCGACTTATCAATGACATAACTGACACCAACGTCGTGGTTCAAAAGTAACCAATAATAATATAATTTTCAGCTAACCGCTGCCAAAAATTCTGCTCATAGTAGCTGTTACGAAAAGGTTATTTTTTTAACGTATTTTATTCAATATAAGGTTCCGTGGTGGTTAAAATATGGAAGCCATGAAATTATCAGTCGGTTTCAGTTAGTTTTCCAAACCAATAAGTCGCACTTGTTGGTTTGAAAAACGGGGCGTTTGAAAAGTTTTTCCCGCATAGTTAGGTTTTAATCATAGATTTAAACTGGTTATTCTTCGTTACAAGCATTAGCATCATGATATTTATCTTTGAGACCCTATGCATAAGGCCAAAGTTTTATTTGGATTGATTTTCAGTCCATGATTCTCCGAGTAAAGGAATGTTTTGTGCAAATCTGTGTTTATATTGGCCACGCAACTTTCTGAATCGGTGTTATGAGAAGACAAATATAACTGTATATCATCTGCGATGTACTTGACAATGCGATAAGAAAGTTGAGTAATCAAAAATAAACATTGAAAACATCAAGAGTCCTGAAATACTTCCCTGTGGTACACCTGAGATTGTTTCCTTTAGGGATGACCATGAGTAATCATCCAGTTTGACCCTCTGTGATCGGCCTGTGAGATAGTCATCCATGTAATGGAATCCTATGAACTTGAGCTTGCCGATGAATAAATCGAAATTAACTTAAATCGAGAGATTTACTTTGATCAAGCAGTACAGACTTTTGATTGATCTCTGAATTTCGCAAGATCGTCGATTAGTTTCAAGAGGGCAGTTTGTGTTCCGTATTTTTGCAGACTGCTCGTACGGGAGTATTCGGTTTTCTTCAAGAAAAGCTCTTACTTGACGTGAAACATTTTTCTCGAATATTTTAGAGAATGAGGGCAGAATGCTGATAGGGCATGGGTCACTGAGCATGGTAGGTGCATTCTTTTTCGGAGTTGAAATTATATTAGCAACCTTCCAAACATCTGGAAAATTAGCCTGTCTGAGGACTCGTTGAAAATATGTTTAACTTCATCAATACAGTGTGGTATCACTAAAGAAATCATCTTGATATTTATATTATCAATACTTAAAGCATTAGATTTTATTTCTTTGATAGCAGTCAGAATATCATCATTAGGTATATATATATCTGTGAGGGAAAAGTTCATAGGAGCGTTCGATTTATTATTACTGTAGAATGAAAGAGTGTTATTATTTACTATTGAATGTCATTGATTTCTTCAGGTCTACATAGTTCAATTGGCAGGTTTATTGGTTTGCGAGGATGATTTTGTAGTAACAGCCCAATCTGCATGTCATTTTTGAACTATTTTTATTTTAGTTCAAAACAAATTGTATATGAATTGAAGGGGTTATATTTTCAGGACTTTGGGAAAAAAAGTTTTTCGCTTTCTATTACTCCATCTTGATACAAAAAAAGAAGGAGGAAATCTTCCAAAGAAAAGAAAGAAGTAATCAATTTGAAAATAAGTAACTCTATACATGAATGTGTAGATCATACAAAGAAGTTACTTTCAGACACAAACTGAAAGAAAGTCCTCCTGAAACAGCTACTTTCATGTAAACATTGAATTACACAAAAGAAAAAAATTCTTTCGAAACAAATACTTCTATATGAACACTGAATTATGCAGAAGATACTTTTCTCTACTCAGTTTGTATTTCAAACATTCGTTGTGGGATAAAAATCATGTCATTACGATGTCATCGATAACATAAGCAGATCAATCTTATTCCGTGACATTAAAAATCGTAATTCAAGAATGAATTGTGTGTATTTTCTATAATGTTATCCAATTTTGGTACTGAAGAGCCTTGGGGCAAATGTCTTAAGGCGAAACATCGATGTATACCAGTGAGGATGACAGTGTTACATGTAAGTGCAATTTGTTACCATTCATTTAAAGTAGAACTCATATGAATGATATCTGATTTTTATTCCACAACGAATGTTTGAAATACAAACTGAATAGAGAAAAGTATCTTCTATATAATTCAGTGTTCATATAGAAGTATTTGTTTCGAAATAATTTTTTTCTTTCGTGTAATTCAATGTTTATATGAAAGTAGCTGTTTCAGGAGCACTTTCTTTCAGTTTGTGTCTGAAAGTTACTTCTTTGCATGATCTACACATTCATGTATAGAGTTACTTATTTTCAAATTGATTACCTCCTTCCTCTCTTTGGAAGATTCCCTCATCTTTTTTTGTATCAAGATGGAGTAGTAGAAAGCCAAAAACTTTCTTTCCCAAAAATTGTAGATATGCTGTTTTTCACGTTTTACTGCATCACTGACTGCTTCGAGGATTGGGAGGAATACTGGCACAAGTGTAGTGTAAGGGACAAAATAGAAATTGATGAATAAATAAATAGTTATTGAGAAAAACGAAAATTCACCTTATTTTTCAACAAACATCGTAATTGTGATTTTTATTTGATTCACATAATTATATTCGAGTTATTCCAGTAGAGTTAGGCTCCAGTCACTGGCATAATGATAATAATAATAATAATAAATGGAAGCTGTGAGTTTCTAAAGAAAAAATTATGCAAAGTTTCAATATTAGTCACAATCATATTGGTTTAATTTGATAAGTGCAATGACAGTGATTGAAATTTTCAGAATTTTGTATGTTTGGTTTAATTTTACTTCAATTATTATTTTATGTATGTACAAAATGTTATTTGACCTATTCTATAACTTTTTAAGTTCTACAGGATTGATAAAGTGATTTGATTTCTAAGGATTTCAAATCATTCTATATCAAATCAGACAGTGGGAGTCTGGAACTGATGAAATTCACCACGAAACATTGTCAACCACCTTCAAACAAACGAAGGCCCTGAGAGTCAATAATAATGACATCTAGATGTTGATTTTATCTCTGACAGTTTCATCGCTGTTGGAAAGAAGCGTTTTATCTCTGTTTAAAATATGTCTGTCTATTTTTCCGTTAACCAGCTGTCGCAACCCTACGAAAGACAACCCACAGAAGTCGAAACTTGTGCGAGCTAAGGATTAACAAGGTCTTTCCTTTTAACGTGTGATTCCTAACACGGCAGACAATTCAAGTGAGTGAAACTCTATTTTGATAACACTTTGAGTTCTTGCTCTACTTTCTATAAAATCTCATCAGTTTCTTCCACAATCAATATCTGTGAATCAGTATCTATTGTTACAATTTGGTGAACTATTTTTCATTCTCAAACTAACCAATACTACACCTTTCACGTGGAGGTGTAGTATTGGTTGACTACGAACTGAAAAAATTGTTATTATTTTCATCAGACTACTAAAATCTAATGAGAAAATAATATACCTAGGTATTCCTGCCTATGCGATATACGTAATAAAAATAATCATCGTTAATCCAGGTACCTAGTTCATAGCAAAATACTCACCGGAGGGTTTAGGAACATTTCTCTTTACTTGCATCCACTTGTAAGTCGGCAAAACAGGCTGGGGAATTGAAACGGGAGACAAACCATGCATTCCATGGTGCTGCCGAAGTCTAGAATGTTCTTCCCCAGGCCCCAGCTCCTCCTTATACTTATGAAGGTGCTGAAACTCCATACAAGCGTTTGATGCACCTGCTGTTGGAGATATCAAGTAGTTCCCTTCTCCCATCTCTACCTGGTACTTGTTCTCATGCAGATAGCTGTGATGCAGCTCAGCGCCATCTTCGTTATGCTGCAGCAAGTCCTCTTGGTGAGATCCCCTGTAGCTTTCGCTATAGCCCTGGTGATGGTAGAAGGAGCTGTTGGATTGGGCATAGTCCAGATTAGTGTAGCACAACCCGGTATCGGTATTTATTATAGGGTTTTCCGAAATGTGCGGCGGATGGTAGTAGTTGATTTCGTGGGGAGATGGAGGGGTGTCAACAGAGTCTGTAGCCGAGGAAGCGTACAAGTAGGGCTCCTCGTAGTGATAGTTGGACGAATAGTAGTTCTGGAACTGGTGATGGGATCCGGGATGGTTCAACTCACTCGAATGGTTATAATAGTTATTGGAATCCCCCGAATTGTAAGACGCACTGTGCTGGTTATGATGACCGTACATACTTATGTTCATCATCATCATTGTCGTTCACCGCTTATCACGACACATGAGTTTCTTTATCGCACCATCCACTGTGTAACCGTTACGACACTGAGCGTTAGTTGTTACTACCTATGCCGGTCATGCCGTGCACGGATATGAATGGTTGTGTTTGCGATGCCGTTGAGTCGGGGGCGGAGCCAACGGTACACGTGTCTTGCGCGGTGACGACACCGTCCAATGGGAGTCTCGAAGCAGGGAAAAGATGTGATGCTGGGCGAGGGATTGGTCAGCATCCAGCCATCATTGCGCTTTTGTTACAGAACATTTCAATTTTGGTGAATGTTACATGTGTCAGCTACTGTGTGTGACATGACAGCTTCAGTTGTATGGTTCGCATATGCTGTTTCTGATAGGCCGACTATTGCTGAAGGGCTATTTGGTATTTCGATAGTAGTATCTGAATTGAGTGGCGTCGAGTTTGTTTTAAATATATGACAGCGCTCAGTAAAAAAAAATTAAATTGTGAATTGTCTCAACATTATCATTTTAAAATTTTGAATGGGCTGACCCATCAATTGATGAAAATTAATAATACTATTTATGATAATTATTATACAATTTTCACGAATATTTTCATTTCTATACGCACCGTAGCTTCCTCGGTACCTTCTTCCCACCGAGTCTGCTATTCTTTATGTTCAGGGTACACTATTTTTGGACCAAATGATCGCTCCCCTAACGGCGAGGGAAGTAATCATTTTAGAATAATATTTAACAATGGTATTTGGACTTTTATTGGTATCTTTCAGTAAGCGTTTTTCCTAAGTGTCATTCAGTAATAGCTTCAAATACTTGAAGATATTGTATTTAGCAAATAACTACTAATAACTTCTTCAATAGAAATGTATTTAGGAAGTTTTGACAACTATCTATATTATTCTCTGACAAATCAATCAACAACCTCATACACATTGTTTTCTATATTTTGTTTCTTCTAAACACTTTATACAAGGCGCTAATTACTATGATGATGTGATATCACAATATAAATCCATTCACAAGATGAAGTCAATACTATCTTTTTTCAAATTCATATTTTTGAAGGGAGTTCATACTTCAATACCGCGAAAGAAAAAGTAACTATGGAAAATTGTACGACCTTACTAGAAATTGAAGTTTGAGATATACACAAGGTACTCCAATATTTCGATAAGTTTCATTATCATAATCAGGGAATAGCTACAATTATGATATACGATAAAACAAGATTCTAGTTAATATACTTATTTGTAGCTTTTCCCTGATGATAACAATGAAACATATTGAAATTCCTTGTGTTATAAGAGTACAATTCCGTTTTGCTGCTTCCTCCAATGACGTCGTTGTCTTGTTTTTGACAGTTCAGCAGATAAAACCCTTCGAATAAAAACATATTACTTTCATTAGAGCGATCAACTCGACCACAATGAATGCCATTTTTTTTATCGACTACTGAGAATGTATCTCGGTAATGAAGAGAAAACACCCGGTAGAAGACAAATAACTGCTTATATTAACAGCCACAAAACCAGTACCTACAGTCATCATTTCGGCTGATTTATACGTACTTGAAGGTAGTTGTTATCTATTGTTCTCAAAAGAGGAAAGAGAAGAAGAGAATGAATATCAATAACAGTTCATAGTTTCGGACTTCGGATGGAGAAAATATTCCAAAATAATGATATCAACTACCTTCAGTCCCTACCTTACAGTTACCCAGTATAGCAATCCAGATTTCTTTAAGTGATATTCTGCTATTGGAAATATATGTTTTGCTACCTATGTTTTCATAGTTCAACTTTCTTTTTGGTCACCATCAGCTGTAGCTTGAGGGAATTGGGTGTTAGCAGTCGATATATAAATTTGAGGTTTGAAGGGTTACTTTTCCCTCTGCCCCATCGAACCACTTTATATCGACGACCCTTCAGTTATAACATACAGTGAGTTTCAAAAATTTACACCATATTGAAAACTTTGTTATTATCTATTTTTCAGAAAATTTGATTACGGATAAGAATTGATGCATTGCGGGAAACTTGGATTTGAGTTATCAACATTCTACATTTCCAGTGTACAATGGAGAACAAACAATAGAAATTTTGATCAAGAGTAAACTACCCTCATTTTCGACATTATTGAAGAAGTTTTACTAGGAAAGTTGTATAAATTTGAAAGCAATATTCAGCCACCTTCGTAACAAAAAAAAACATTTTTTATGGTTTTAGCCACATGAAGAGTAGGTACTAGTATCTAATATACACCTTAGGCGCCTAAGAATAAAATTTTCTGACAAATACATAATAAAAAATTTTCCATATGGTGCAAACTTCTTGAAACTCACTGTACATATCGCTGGTCTTTTCTCTTTTTTTAATCCAGTTTAGTTTTCTCTTCTGTAAGGCTAGAACTAAGATCAACAGTACTCCTCCGGTACAAGATTTTTCAGCTTCAGTTGTATTTTCATAGATACTACAGATATTGATAATTATTGTATTGATTTATATGTTATGAGAAACTACAAATAAATTATATGCAAAATAGAAATAGACTTAGAAATTTCCACACATACGAGCATGTAAAAAGCTTTATGCGACTTACAAAATTGGCATGATTGAACTTTGAAACAATTCAATAGAAACCATTCATTACACTTAATTCAATGTTCTTAAATATTAACTCAATTGTACAAGTTATGTTTTGAAGGTAACTCAAAGTGAATGAAATCACTTAAATTTAACACCAAGCAATTGATGTATAATGTTTATTTGACAGTTCAATGAAGAAACAATTTCGTGGATTAGGAAACTCGTTTTATGAGCATAAACATCGCAGATTGATACATTGCCCGGACCCTCCTCCACGTCTAGCACAGAATCTGCTACAAGCTGGACTGGTGGATCCAAATCCACATTTCACACTTGACGGTGCTTCATATGCTGGAAAAAAATTAAAAATCAACAAACTATTCAAAAATTTCAAGTGTAGAGATTTTTCAAATAATTGTTCATCCCCTTATTCTATTTTTAAATACAATTCTCTCCTTGAATTCATTCATTAATAATTTTTTTTTGCTATCGAACTAATACAATGATATTGAGGCCATTTTATCTATTTCATTATTCTAATAAAAAATATATCATTGAATTGTAAACTTTCGAAAATATAGATACGCTCTGATTACTACTGTAGGTAGGTATCTATAAAATTACTCATAATAGTGTTCACCATCGCCTTTGTGGGCTTGAAAAAATATTAAGAGAGTTATACATTCGCAAACGGGTTTCAAACTTCACCCTCACAAGAATGGATAAGGTAAATATACTTATTTTTTTCAATTAGGTATATGCCGCACCTTTTCAGACTTCAATGTAACATGTAACAGACATCTGTAATATTGTAATTTCCTCAGATATACTGTCATTATTTAAGGCAGCTATATAACAATTCTCAATTGAAATAAGTAAGAAATCAATTAAAGAGTAACTTCTCTGAAATTCAATAAATCTATTTTATTGGTATTAGTATTATACAACTCATATTTGAAAAAAATATTGAAAAAAATCAGTCACATATTCATATAAACACTTTTATCATTGTATCAATTAAAAGAGATTGCTGGCAAAAAAATCTTGTTTGACTATGAAATGCATATTGTAACCAATGACATTATACAAATATAATGACCAAAAAATTGTTAGACTTGATACACATTTATTTTAGTTCTCTTATGTTTTCTGGCAAACTTTGAGTAAAGATAAATAAAAATCTGAAATAAATTTTCTGCAGATAATACAAATTATGAAATTATGGAACAACAAAAATTAATTAGCGCTTCGAGACAACTTGTTTGATACCAGTGGCGCATTTGCTTTTTCAGCTGCAGGTAAACCTGGAAAAACCTGCAGCACCACATCATCTGAAGATGTTGATCTGCCAATGTCCTCTCTTTCATAGAATAAAATGTAGAGTTGTCACCAGAGGCTCCAATAAATTCAAGACATTGCTGAAATATTTAGTGACACGACTGTCGTCAAACTAAAACCAGTCCGTTTCGTCTTCGACCAGTGCGTAATAATGACCAGATTCAACGCCAGAACCATAGTGAACAACGAATGCATGAATATCATCATAGTGTTCTGTTAGATTGAAGTGTACATCTGTTTCGTATTTTGTACAAATTATTATTATTCTTCTATTGAAAACACTTCTCTCGCACCGGAACAATGATAATGTCATTGCGTGGTTAGCGAATAACGAGAGGCGGATTAATTTTGATCTAGTGTGGGAAAACTATTTTTTCATAATATTTTTGTTGATTTTTGATTGTTGATATTCAAACATCATCACAATTTCAGTATACCCACTCCTATTGGGAATTTTTTACACAGTGTTTAACCTAGGAAAGGAATTTGTGAGAATAATCTCTGGTGTCTGGTGTAGCACCCCCCTTCACTCTTTGAAGTCACGAGATTCATGAAAATATAGGAAATTTTCTGTCTACCCTAAACATCAGTTGGGCATAACTGAACTTAACTACTTTGGTAATTCCGAATCGAAAGGATTATTTCGTTCATAACTTTTATTCACACTGATCTATATTCCACTTCATAGCCTAACAGTTGTATCAATTCCATACATATTATATGACAGCTAAATTGAATGATACCGGTAGTCTGTCTATTCACTCATTGATGACTCAATTTTCAATCACCAATTCGAAAACTCAGATTTTTGATAAACAAAAACTCACCTTGAGCTACGTCCAAAATAAGACAACCCATCAAACACAAAACCAAAATAATAACTGCACCCTTCATATTCATCGTTCAGTTGCTGCCACAATTGCTACAGTTCCAAAGGCAGAACATTCACAAGTATTTATACCCAAATTAAAGACAGAGTGTGGTGAATTATCCGAAACAAAAATAATTGTAGTTCCCCTTGTCCAAGTCGAGAGTAAACATTTACGAAATATAAAATTATGATATTAAATTTTATAGCTGTTTGCAATAATGATTATGAATACATATTCAGATTCGGTGACTTCTTGGAACAAACCACGCGCTTCTGAGAGTTGTAGTCGGATAAATTGAAGTTAAAGGTTTATTTTAATTGATTCTAAAAATAATTGAAATTAGTTCTTTTCATTGATAACTGTATACATAAACAGCAAACAATTCAGATCACAAAATCAAACATTTTGTATTTTTTCAGGAAGAGACACAAGCACTACAGAAAAATCCTTAAGGCGCTATCAGAGCGGTGCCTGTGCGAAAGTAGTGATTCACATTGGATTTAAATCGCTGGAGATTAAATCTATTTAAAAAAAACGTTCTCACATGAACGCCGTTCTCCAAATGAAAGAGTTTTTGAACAGTGGAGTTTGAGGTGTACTGAGTTGAACCTCAAAACGATAAGCATCCAGTCCGTCGCGTATTCCTGATATGTACCGCTCTTGGTGGAAGCAAATTTGCTGAGTCACTTGAAGAATGACTCTATCAATAGTGAATAATCATAAGGAACTACAGTATGAATATTTCTACTTTGATTTTAAGAAAGCTGATTATTTTGGATTGAATGATTATTTAGCTGGTATTGATTGGGAATATCATTTGAGAAATATGACAGATATAAATGCGGCTACAAACTTTTCATATAATTTTTTGTGTGAGGGTATATGTAACTTTGTACCGTATGTTAGACAAACTAAGTCAAAATTTCCCCGTTGGTTCAACAATGATTTGAAGAAAATCATTAGTGAAAAGAAAAACGCTCATAAAAAACTCAAAAAAAACTCATAAAAGCTCATAAAACCTCATAAAAACTAAGTATATCTCGGGATGACTACCAAACTAGCGTCAAAAATTTGTCATGATGATTATATTAAAAGAAATGAAAATAACTTGACATCAAACATGAAAAGCTTTTGGAATTTTGTTAACAACAAACGGGAAAATTATTGATACTATGTAATGCGGGGATGATAATATTTATAAGAATGGAAATTACATTGTTAATGCATTTGCAGACCAGTTTCAATCAGTTTATAAACCACATGAAGATAATGAAATACCAATATTAAGTTATGAGAAAACAATTGATATCAATAGTTGTACAGTTTCCTTAGAAATTATCCTACAAAAATTATCGGAATTAGATCCATATAAGGGTCCGGGCCCAGATGGCATATCACCGATGCTACTGAAAATCTGTAGATTTTCACTAGCTAAACCATTCTTATTATTTTCAGCTTCAATTAGTTCGTAAAAATTACCCCTCATTTGGAAATCAAGTTATATAACGCCAATTTTCAAGTCTGGTAACAAAGCTGACATAAATAATTTTAGACCGATCAGCATATTAAGTACAATACCCAAACTACTTGAACACATCGGTTGTGATAATATAAAGAGTCCTTGAAAACAAGTGATTATCGACGAACAGCACGGATTTAGTGAAGGTAAATCCACCAACGCTAATCTACTGTTGTACACCCAGTATATTTTGAATGCTCTGGAAAATAAAAAACAAGTGGACGTAATTTACACCGATTTTTCAAAAGCATTTGACATCGTGAACCATAAAGTTCTTTGTGAAAAATCAAAGGCAATTGGCTGTTTTGGGAGTTTGCTGGAGTGGTTCTCAAGTTATCTTTGTGATAGATCACAGTTTGTGAAAATTAAAGGATTTATCTCTCACGAGATATCTGTTACCTCAGGAGTACCTCAAGGGAGTCACTTGGTACCCTTTTTCTTCAATATCTTTGTGAATGATATCAAAGAAAAAATTACTTACTGTGAAATACTGATTTTTGCAAATGATCTTAAAATTTTTAGAGCAATTGATTCGTTGCAGGAATGTGCGAAAATTCAAATGGACCTTAAATCTTTTTCTGATTGGTATAAGCTGAATTATATGGATGTTAATGTGGCAAAATGTAAAAGTATTTCCTTTTCAAAGTCATTAAACCTTTATACAGCTGGTTATAGTATTGCAGGGAAGAAGTTGGAACGTGTACAATCTATACGAGATCTGGGTGTTATGATGGATGACAAGATGGACTTTCATTTACAGTATGACCACATATCTAACAAAGCGATGAAAATGTTAGGATTCATATGCAGATCAACAAAAAAATTTACCAAGATGTTTTCTATCAAAATACTATACTTTGCATTGGTTAGATCAGTGATTGAGTATTGCACCTGTATCTGGTCTCCAACATACTTCAATCACAGTTATGATATTGAGAAAGTTCCGAATGAATTTTTTAGATATATTGCCTACAAAATGAACATGCCAACTAGATGTCATTCGCTCTTCGAAATTCGATCTACTATTGGATTGCTCAAACTCAGTACAAGACGGGCACATGCAGATATAATATTCCTACATAAATTGTAAAACAACGAAATTAATTGTCCAACTCTTCTCTGTCAAGTCAATCTGCATGTTCCCCCGAGAAGGACACGTAACAACCAAACTTTCAGTCTCGACTTTCATAGGTGTAATTATGGAAAACATTCTCCTTCGTCCAGAATTCTGTCGAATGCTAATGGGACCAATGTTGATTTTTTTCATATCTCTCAGAGCACTCTGCACTCTGATATACTCTGCGTGGTTTAGATTTATAAGACTATTTTTTTTATCACAATTTTATTTTAATTTTCTCTATATTGGTTGATTTATTTGATACTATTTGATAGATACTAGAATAGTTAACTTTCTAAGGTTAATATATTGTATAAAGATTGGGGGTTACCCGTTGAATAAATAAATAAACACTTCCCGTGAGAGTATCTATAGAAGAGTGACAAATCTTCAACCTTTCTTCGATGTTTCAGACTATCAACATTGCAAGTGATGTTCGCGTCTTCAATCAAGCCGATGGTTCTTTCCCGAATGAAATCCAGCAGCTTCAAGGTATGTTTGGGGGCGGAGGTCCATACATGAGAACAATACTCCAAATAAAGAATGTTTCAGCCGTTGCTGTTCAACCCCTTACCAGGGACAAATGTTAGCCCCATAAAATCTTGAACTAGGAGGAGGGTTAGGTTAGGTCCAAAGTGAGTGGATCTATTCGATCCTCCACCGCAACCAGCAAGGGTTTATTGTGGTTCACACCTATTCACACTCGACCAAATAAACCGAGCTTCTTAACGAAGTCGATTAGTTTGTCAGGTCTGATGGTAAGAGTACGGCTCTGCCGAACTCTAAAAACCTGATGCGGTCCCCAGCGGGGCAGGCACAAAATATATGCTCTGCTGTTTTATCGTTGATGAGGTAGTCGGATATTCAAGGTGCAAGATTCCCACCTTGATACCCGCGACAACCTTCCCATATGAGGGTTTTTGCACGTCAGCTACACCTGACGATGCCTTAGATTCACTCGTGCAGGGCTTGAAACAGATTCTGCGTACGCCGCTCAAGAATTGGGTGCGAGGCGGTTTTATAAGGTACCCCGCTCTTGAGGAGACGACTCAGTCTTTTCCTGGATGCACCAACAAACCTTTTTTTAGGTTCAGTTATTGGATCAGGAGTTGAAGAGATGAGAAGCTCTCGCTACTGACCTAAATTTACAGGCAGGTCAGTTGGAGTCGATAGCTCAACATCCACCTCCTCTGTAGACTCAGCTTCAGAAATAATTTTTGAGTTTACTCTGTCCATTAAAGTCTCACGAGTAGCTAGGAAAAGAAGGTCAATCACGGCAGAGCCCCGTATTACTGTGACAAGGCGATGCTACGACGAGAGGGCACCCGTTATCTCGAAGGTTCCGTAGAGACAGCTGATAGGCTCAATGTCATTCATCCTCTCGGCACGGATACACATACTTTAGGGTTAAGTCACCGTTGGGATGCCATTCAGTTAGGGAATAACAGAACCACAGGTGACTCTGTCATTTCCGTATCCAGCGGGGCTACGTGGAAGCAGGTATCCGATGGCCGATTTGCTCAACACCCACGTTCCAAGCCAATGCATTAGCCAAAAACAGCATGCACAGTGGTTCAGGCAGTGAAAGATGAACTAGGACAGCCAACCCGCCTAGGAGTGGGGTGAATGTTACATCATTTTGAAAAGCTTTCAATTCGAAAGTAACAGTAGTATTCATATAGGCTTTCACGGCATGAGCCACGATTAGAGAATACGAAACTTGAACTGGTAGGTCTTGGTCGGAAGGAGCTATTGATATCAAACGTTTCTTGTGCGGCAGAAATCGTCAGAGGTATTTGCGTTGACTGTGAAGGCGAAGGTTATATATGTCGAAGTCTTAGCGAAGACTGACTGGTATCAGTCGAGATATGAGGTTGTTTCAAGAGTTTTGTAGGTTTCAATGCCTTGTATTTTTGTAGATCCATAGTGCAAAACATGTTTATTCTACTGTGTCGTGGTACATACTGATTGACATAGAATTTTCTCTCTCAACATTGATGTTGATTTTTTCCAAATTTAAATTTTTTAATGAGCGATTTTTAGGCAATTTTCCAGTCCGACTTCAAATTGAATGAAAGCGCTACCGAAACAGCCCGAAAAATCACCAGGCATTTGGTAATGAACGCAGCAGCAGCAACCAGAAATGGTCAACAGAAGAAGTCCGATTCTGTCCCACGACAACGCTCGTCCGCACGTTTCACAAAACACCGTCCAAAAATTGAAAAAATTTCAGCGTAAAATTTCTGCCTTGCGTACCATACTCCCCAAACCTCTCGCCAACTGACTACCATTTTTTCAATGACTTTGATAACTTTCTTTCTCATCGGCATGAGAAGAATAACTTTCTTACAGGTAGAACCTTCGCCAATCAGGACCAGGCAAAAATGACCGTCGTCGACTTCATCGAATCCCGATCATACAATTTCAATGTTGGCGTTGGC